AAACTAACTACCTCAATCCACCCCTTGCCAACTTGGCACGTGTACATAATTCTTTAGCCTCACAATTGCAATTAAGTAACACCTACACCTTAATCTTATAATCTTGTGAATATGTTCTCCCACCTATGAAAGTTTGTAAGCCAACCCCTTCATGCCATTATTATTATTACTGTTATTATTATTATTATTTGTATAAGAGAGTTTTGTCTATCGGCCAGGTTGTCACAATTAACTACCTCAGTCCCTAAGACGAGGTATTCACTGTATCCATGTCTGCATGGGTGCATGTCCTGCCCTTCTGTCTGCACACCACGACACCCATCTTGTTTGTTGGTGGTAGAAATGAAGGGGTAGGGGCTTCCATTCTAATAGATTACCCCAAGATCTGGCATCCTAGAGTTTGTAACTCAATAAAAGCAGCACATTTTGCTTTTCTTGTTTTCAGCTCTGGTTCTTAACTTTCTGAATTAGTAGAGGTGACAGAGTTTCAAAAGTATATTAAGCTTTTAGGGACTTGGAAGTGGAAAAAGACTCCTAAATTTCTTTTCATTGCAGTAACTCAATCCTCAGCCTAAAGCGGGCACCTTTCTCAGAATGAACAACCCATCTCTGTTGTTGTCCCTCCTCATACAGGGGAGGGGAGAACAGATGGGGACATAGGAAGCCATAGGCCCCGGGCTCCCTGCGCTCACTCTGCAGGAGGGTCTGTAAGGGGAGGCTGCATTTGCATACACTGAATGTCATTGCTCAGGCCATCACCCTAATATCACCTCTCCAAACAGATGGGATCTGGAGGTCCAGGGACCTGCCCCCGCCTGAGAGAATGACCCCCTTGTCTGTGGAGAAGATGAAGTGAAGCAGAATGTCCTGCTGCTCTGGATGAAGCAGTCTTTGACAGCTCGGGTTGACAGGGTTTCTCTCCGTCAGCTGGGAGGCTGTGACTTTCTGCTCTGGAAGTGGAAAGAGCTCTGGACATAAAACATGAATCCAATTCTCAGGACCAGGGATTTAGAGCTCTGGCAGAGGCCAGCTTAGATTTTCAGCTCCCAGCAAACTTCAGACACCCTGCCAGGGCCTTCCATCATGTTTTGCCTCCCCAGCGTAAGTCCGACCACTTCACCCTTTCTGTCTCATCTTTCTAGCTTTTCATGGCAATCCATAGATTCCCTCCCAACACATCTCATTGCCCTACCCTGACTTTACTTAGAAAACCCATAGGGAATTAAAGATTTACCTTGAATTTGGATGATTTTATAACTTGATTTCAGTAGGTATTTTTTTGTCCTCATACCCAATGCCTGGAGAATGGCCACTGTTATTTGAGCTTGCTTGTGGACTCAAAAAGGACAAGCTTTTATTAGAATTAGAAATAATATTTCCATTCTTTAGAAACATGTATTTCACAGCCATCAGTTTCTGTTGCCTCCGTTTCTGGCATTTCAGAGCCAGGTGCTACCTTCAAGCAGTGCGTGTGAGGCCTGTAGGATGAGGGGGGCTGGGAGCAACACAAAGACAAGATATCATCATTCAGGGCACTCCCGCTGCCACTCTCCTCTGGGTCTCTTGAATAAGTAAGCACATCTATTTAATCATTCAAGGACAAATTCAAAACATAAAGACTTAAATATGAAGGGGAACAGCCGAAAGGAGAGATGCGATCAGAATCCCCGACATCACGGGGTATGGAGAAGATTACCACTAACCTTTCCCATCAAGTCTCAGAGCAAGAGCTATCAAAGATGCAGCGTTCAAAGAAATCTACAAGGAAATGGTATAGTGCAGTGAAGTATGCTGTGCAGCGGTGCAGGCATCTTGTCTAGGCTCAAAGGTCTAGGTTCAAAGACCGGTGAATGTGGTGCCCTCAGGAAAGCCTCACAGTGTTCAGTTCTTAATTAAAGGAAAAAAGCTAGCTGCCATTGAGTCAGCGCTAATTCAATGACGGTCACCTGTGTGTTAGAATAGGACTAGTTTAATAGGGTTTTCAATAATTGATATTTTAAGAAGTAGATCTTCAGGCCTGTCTTCCAAGGTGCCTGTGTTGGCTAAGTTTTGCGTGAACTCGGCTGGGCCAGGATCCTCCGTAGTTCGGCCGTAAGACCTCCTCAATAAGGTACAGGCAGCAGTCCGATGACATCTCCTTGGTGTAGCTGATTTCATATCCATAAATAGATGCTGCGGAGAACTTGATTCCCCTCTTTTCTTCCTGCTGACTTGCATCCTGTTGCCCTCCAAGTGGCCTGCTGGACCTGGAAGCTGCTAGGGGCCTGCCACATTGCCGGCTGACCCTGGGAGTCATCAGAGCCTATATCTGACCTGCAGATCCAACTAAGCCTCTACCAGCCTGCCTCCTGGGTTGCTCTCAGTTGTGCTGGTTCACTGGCTGGTAGCTACCTGAGTCAGGGAGGGCCTCCAGCTTAGCATCTGAGTTAGTTAATTGTGCCAGCCTGGCCGATAATCACATGTGGTGCTGGTTGAAAGGCAGAGGGATAAATGGGTGGTGAAGCCTCGCCTTTCTAGTTCTCGGGTCTCTTGTTTTGTGATGGTTGCATCGGGTGCAGCTGCCTTAGCAGTTCCCTGCTTCAGCTTGCAAGACTGACTTCCTCCAAGACATCCCCAAGGAGAAGCCGCATGGATTTATCCCGATGCAGCCCTGGGTGCTGGAGCAGCCGTGTGGAGACCCCTGCTAGTGCTGAGATGCTTATTCGTTCACTGACTCAGCTTTCCTCCTGCAGTCGGCATCATTGCCTCTGTTTTGTGAGGTGAAGGACTTTGTGGACTGGTTTTGGGTTAATGGGTTAATGTTGGACTTGTGGGCTTGGGCAGCATTGGGTTGGGATGTTTTCATGATGCACATTTTCTTTACATAAAACTCTCTCTTATACATGAGTCGCCGTGGATTTGTTTCTCTAAAGTACCTAGACTAATAGAGCATCTGACGCATGGGCTTGAGTCAGATTGGGCTGGCCCACTCTGTGGCTGTGTGAGCCATTTTCTTTATCTAAACATTTTTTTCTTGATGTAAATTTCTTTCTCATACATATATGAGTATCGCTTTTTTTTTTCCTCTCTGGAAAACAGTGCCTCTGGATGGCTTCAAATCTCTGACATTTTGGTTGGTGTCACCACTGATCTTCACCACCCAGATACTCCTAATTAGACATGAACTCTGCCCAGGGAATGACTACAGTGAATGTCCTACGTAGCAATGCTGGAAAAGTGTTCCACACGGTAGTCTAAACCAGCCAGGACTGGAGAGGAAGAAACAAGAAAAGGGAACTATAGAAGAGGCGGATCACAGGAGAGGTGGGGAGAATAGACTTGACACTAGAACGTTCGCGCCTTATAACACTTCTCTTATGGCACTTACTGCTCATGCTCAGTATGTTTATATGTGTGTGTGTAATTTCAGCTCTCGATCCTTGGACGATGCAAATGGTCTGTCCTCAGCTGCTAACTGAAAGGTTGGCAGTGTGAACCCACTCGGTAGCACTGCAGAAGAAAGGCCTGGCAATCAGTGTCCATAAATAGTATAGCCACGAAAGCCTTGCGGGGCTCAGGTCTATGCGGGGTCGCAATGAGACAGAATCATCTCAAGGGTGACACGCGTTCACAAAATCTGCCTTGTGTGCCATTGAGTCGATTTCCAACTCATGTCACCCATGTGACAGGGCAGACTCGTCCCACGAGGATTTCTCGGCTTTAAGCTTTATGGGAACAGAGCGTCAGCTGCTTCTGTCCTGGTGTTGGTAAATGGGTTTGAACTACCAACCTTTCAGTTAGCAGCTGAGAGACTGACCTTGAAAAATCCTTCAGGGCAGGATTGAAGTGCATTTCATTTCTTTACCCCCTTAGCCCAATTTATTTCAAGTATGATTCAGATGTTCAGCAATATTTGTTGAATGAATCCTAGGCTTGTAAGCCCAAGTTTAAAAAAACATTTGTAAAGCTTTTGTAGAAAATGAGGGAGGACTCCAAATGGAAAGTATCTGAGGTCAAAGGTTAGCTTGAAATAAACAACCCCAGTTCATGGGAACTCTGGGAAGCTGAGATGAACTAAAATCATTTATAACGTTTTAAGTTCTCTTCTTTCTTGACAATGAAAGTGCAAGTGCACAGGATTACTGAAGGGTGAGTCCTGGGCCCGGCATCTGCATTCTTCTCCAGAAGCACAAACCCTGAGGGTGTTTCCTGGTGTTTCTATCTTACCACGCCTACTACCGTGCGTAGAAGACAAATCCATTGCAAGTCAGAAACAATGGGTTTCCCTTGTAAGACCGGTAAGGTGGCCATGGAGGATGGAGAGAAATCGCAGGCGTGGGGCCGTTGTTGAGAAGAGTGTTGGGTAGAGGTACTGCAGTCCATTGCAGTGATGCCTGGGAGTTAGCCTGGAGGACCCTGACTTGGAGAATTGCTATGAAAGGCCTAGAAGGTTTCAATTTTCCAAGACTGCAGATTCTCTAGCGAAACTCACCTACTCCAAGGCGATGTGGCTACTCCGTGGTCCAGAGGAACAGATAGGCGTTTCAAAGGGTAACCTCGGCAGGTCTACTCACCATCAAAGAGCTATGGTGGGAGCCTCACAGGCCCTCCTACCTTTTCCAACAGACCAGGTCCTCAAGTAGATAGTCAAGCATCTCATTCCTCTTAGATTTTTGCCCAGGATCTTTATTTTGTAGGACCTGGGCATATGGTAAAGTGGAGGGTATAGATTGAAGAAACTTGGGGAATAAATGTACTTGGGTAGGAGTCCAAGGGCCAACAAATGGAAGTAGACATGGGATAGATGAGTGGGCTGTTGTCTAAAGAGAAAGGCTACAAAAAATATGAATACAGGGAATTAGATGTCCCTAACCCCGCAAACTTAAAAGATGGGCTTTCCTTGAAATTGAGCCTTGAGATATTTGAAACATTGATGAATAGAAACTGGAGAAATAGTTATTGAGATTTCTTTTTTAATCTGAGAATTCAATTTTGAGTTTTGTAGCTTTTGAGATTGTGCAAATTAGTAAGAAAATTAAAGACACAAAATATTCACTAATAGAAACATCTCCTTAAACATTCTTCCCCATTTAATGCTACTATCAAGCCTGGTCAAAGATCTACGTGTCAGGAGATCTTAGTTTTCCATGGGTGTAAAATGAAAATTGACTTCAAACTGACCTGTCAAAATCTAGCTAAGTTGCACTAGTTGATGACTGGCAAAGCCATTGCCAGGACGATCTGTTAACAATTTGTACGGATAATCCAATGGCATGGCAAACGCTTGTTTGGGCCCTGAAAAGTTAGTCCCAAGACCCCCTGGTAGGCTTTTAACCATAGGCAGGTTTGAAAAATGAGGCATTAACTTCCCCAGCTACAAGATCCAGTTCTCAATAAAGTGATATCAGAGAAATACTACTGGGAGAAAAGGGGTGAGAATTCTAGGAAAGAGTTTCCTTCTTGACGAAAGAGCGCAGACAATTCAGGAGAGCACTTTGACAGCTCTGGTTCTCCACTCCCTTCTCCTCCCTCCCCCTTTGCTGCTTTAAACACAGCTCAGATGCCTACAGCTGTAGCAGCTGTAGACACCCACACAAATCAATGTTTGATTCTTTCCCCCAAAACATGCCTCTGGTTATCTAAATTCTATGAAGGATAAACTAAAAATTATCTTTCATTTTTATTGTATTTCTCAAACATTCAAAAAAATTCCTGTTGATTTAGAACACTTACCATCATATCTTACTTGGAACCCCTCGTTAGACCCCCAGTATGGAGTCGTTTCTAAAGGCAAGTGATCGGCCACTTGACGAGCTCCCTGAGCCCTCGGAAAAGTGCCAAATCCTCGGTGCCTTCGGTGCCTCATCTGTACACTGGGGGTTTCTAATAGCATTAGCTCACTGGTTGTTACAGGATGTCTTGGGGATAGCAAAACCAGTAAAAATTTATCATCATCACACATTTTCCTGAGACCCCCTGTAAAATATTTTCATCATGGATTGCCAAGTCAGATGTTCTTGAATTCCTGGTTTGACTTACTAATCAGACATATTAGGGCTCGAGATGGGAGGCTGCATCCTCTATGTCGTTGGCTCTGTAGAATGTGCTATGTCAACGATATCCATTCATTCACTCCCGAGTCCTCCCAACGTGCCAGCCACATTGTGTTGGGGTTAAACACGCTTTATCAAATACCGAAAGGGAAGTAACTATTATCAGCAGGTAACCATGTTTGCCTTAGCCTACAACTCGGATATAATCCTTTTTACAAGAAAGACAAAGCCTATTTTTGTAGTAAGTGGAGTTTTCCATGGACAGTGAAAAGCAAAAGCAAAACCAAAAATTATAAAAGAGACCAGGCTTACTGATCAAGTAGACTCTGGTGGAGCCCCAAGACTCTGTTACCCCTCAGGTCTGGAACTGAGCCCACTCTGTGTTAGAATTAGCAACAATTTAAGGTTAAAGGGTAGCATTCATCCAAGGACAAATACAGAGGTTGGGAAAGAAGGAAGAATGGAAACCAAAGACACAAAGGAAGTGGAACAAGCGACGGTACGTTGAGGGGGTTGCAACAGATGCGTTGAAACCAAGGGCATGCACTGTTGGCTGTAGGACTGGTGATCTATTCTGTAAACCTGCAGCCAATGCTCAATAAAATGTTTAAAAACTCAATACGGGGGAAAATTCAACTCAATGGAAAACGGAATGACAGATTTGAACAGACACATCATCAAAAAGAAGATAAAAAAAGAGGTGGGGGTGTTAATAACGAACACCGTTTTAGAAATAGATTACTTCTTCCCTTCATATCATTCAATCAGTATTTCCCTCCTTTTGTTCCTTTTATGCTGCTCAGAGATGAGCGTAAGGTATGTTGTGCAACTCAGAGGAGAGGACTTTTCCCAGTGGAAATGTCCAGGTTTCTCACTGAGCAGAGGCTTCTCTGCCCAACTCCTGAGGACCAGTAGGGACACCCACAGCAAAATGGATGCTTGCTTTAGGACTTGAAGGTGGAGAAATTCTCTAGGAGATGGACCACACCAGCCCAGATGCAAAGCAGGAATGAGTAAAGGATTTCTCTGGCGATAGATGGTTGCACTAATGAAGTGAAAGAGGGATGGAGAAGAATCTTTCTTAATGTGTCCTTGTGTAAGAGAATCCAGATGATGGCAGTTAATATTGCATACAGTTTATGTGTTAAGCTGTGTTCCCTTGAGAAGCAAAATCAGTGATATATATATATATATATATATATATATATATATATATATATAAATATATATATATAGAAAAATTTACATCAATAAAATGACTCACAGTTGTAGAAGCTAGTAAGCCCAGTTTGGTTCCAAGTGCATGAGTCAGATGGTAAGCTGGAAGCTTCTCCTTCTCACTTGCGAAGCTTCAGGGGCTGATGAACCTAAGATTGGCAGGAAACCCAGGCTGATGATTGTAGGGGCAGATGGATCCAAGGTCAGTTGGCCAGATGGCAGGCCAGAAGGGAGGCCTCTCATAGCCCCTGGCATCAGTAGGCAATATAGCTGGCTGTTCGCTCAAATCCAAAGAACCAGAAGTTGGTGAGCCAGATGCTGGATCCAGCTCCAGCAAACAGCTTTACAAGCTTTTCCACACTGTCACATATATAGGAAGTAGAGCATGCCCCCAAGGAAGTTTCCTTTATTTGCTTAAGGCTGTGACCTGAGTAAGGAGTTATATTTCACCCTAATCTTCTTACAACTCATTGACTGTTCACAGCAGTCCCCATTTTACAGAGTTGATTATATTTTGTTGGGCCTCAACTAGCAAAACACAGAGTCCTGACTCATCTCAGTTGACAACAAAACAAAACAAACCTAACTATCACAAATTATTCAAGAGCTGCTCCAGCATCCTGGTGTGAATGACGTCTCAAGGCTTTATCTGGTACATTTTTAGACCTTCCCAGCCTCTGTCTTCCAAGGACAAAGGTTTCCCAACTTCTTTCCGGCTTCTCTCTGCTATTCATATTCCAGGCAAAATTTAAGACCTATTGAGATGCATATGTCTGAAGATGCACTGGAATTATTCCAGAATTATCGAGTTTCTGTCTCGGTGAAGAAATGCCCTCCTCTGGTCTCTGATGGCTCCTGCTAGGCCACTTCCACCTGGTCATCTGTCTGTTTGATGTAGCATCTCCATCACAAGACAACCCACACTTTGACTGACGGATATGAAAATACGCTGACTCAGTTGTCTCCAGGGAAGCAACACCTTTGATCTGTGTTGGAGGCAGATTGAGGGGCAAATTATTGTCCCTGAATGTTCATCCTGAGAAATAAACCCTATTTTTTAAAAAGTAAGGATCCTAGAATTGAACATTTGCTGCAGAAAAGTGTTTTGGGGAAAAAGTCAATATATATACAATTTTCACTATATGTCAGATGTAGTATCAGGTACTAGAGGTTTAGTAGGAAGCAAAAGTCAATACATTTGCATTCTAGTTGAGGAAACAGAAAAGCAAACAGGTGGTTGAGTATAGAGTGAAAATGTCTGGGAGTCTAATAGGAGTGACATCTGACACAGTTCTGGATAATCAGAGGAGGTTTACCCGTGGAAGCAACATCCAAGTTCAAAGGATGTTGTACAGGACTCAGAGAACAGCATAGGCAAAAGTGGAAGATAGTCATCATCACCATCTTCTTGATTCCCGTGAATAGACACTTTGACCTGTCTATGAGGGGAAGGTCGGATATTGGATTGTATTTTTCTAATTTAACAATATTTCCCTTTAGATTTATAGCAGTTTTCTCCCTATTCTATACTTGTGTTTGCATTCAGTAATAGCTATAATGCAGGGAGTGCCCATGACCCCAGAGTAATAAAAAGATTAATAAAATGCATCACCTTATGTAAAGGTGCTTTCAGAATCATGGAAAGGATACACTGTTTTAAAAATGAATAAGGGCCACAGTAGCCATAGGCAGGAGGCATTATGGGAGCACAAAGAGTATCAAGGAGCCACCCAGCCAGATTCTTTGTCTCCTGGTCAGAGATGAGTGGTTTTCGAGGTCTATCATTCAATGGCTATACAATGAAAATTGACTTCAAACTGATATATCAACTGGTATGTCCATGAACATGGATTCAAATCTTTGCTCAAGCTCTTACGAATATATGACCAGTTATGTAGGTTTAGCCAACCTCTTTAAGCCTGGGGTTCAACACTGGTAAGAAGGTGTGTTAGTCTGAGTAGACTAGAGAAACAAATTCATAGACACTCAC